CGCGCCGCTCTCAAAACTTCAACTTGGGTGTCCAAGGGTCTTGCGTCCTTGCCGCGCGTCCTTATTATCAATTCTGAGTGTATCCCGTCCCAGAGGTTGCAATGAGCTGGGGAAGCCTCTTTCTCCTTCTCCTCCTCCTCTTCCTTCTATTCTCTTCCTGGTGAATACATCGTGCTTCTGTTGCTTGCTCTCGGTGCTAGCGTTGCTGGGGGAAGCCACCGCTGAGGGGCATCGGGCTTCTCTTGCCCCTGGGCGGGCTTTCTTCCGCCCCCTGCTCTTGGCTGTCCGTCTTCTTCTGATCGAGCTGGTGGGCTCCTCCTCTTCCTATTCCTCGTCCCACAGCGGCCCAACCGGAGGAGGAGGAGGAGGAGGAGGAGGAGGAGGAGGAGGAGGAGGAGGAGGAGGAGGGCATACTGCTCTCGTCTCTTCTCTACCCCGAGTACGTGCTGGAAGTGTCCATCCCTCTCTTTTTTGAAAATCTGTTGTTCTGTCGCCATTTTCCCCCTACGTTTTTGCATGCGGAGCGTTTTCGATCGGTGTTTCAAACTGATGTGCCCGTCATGTTTCAGGAATTGAGAATTGGTGCTTTGTCCCCGTCGTTCAGAATGGCGCTTTCGCCCCAGCGCGGGCCTCTTCTGGATCTATGTCCTTCCTTATCGTTTCCCCCGCTTCTGTCCCTTCCTCTACCTTCCCCTGGTCCTCCTCTTTTAGCTTCTCCCACTCCTGCTCCTGCTGCTGCTGCTGCTGTACCTCCTCGTCATGCTCCTTCCTCCTCCCTCACTCTTCTTCATCCTGTTCATCCTCCTGCTAATCCGCCACCGCCTCTTCTTCCTCCTCTTTCAGTGTACGCAGCTCCCCCTTTTCTGATTGCGCATGGCGCGATTGTGTTCTTTTGGGGGTTCCAGCTCCGCTGCTGCACCCGGTTCGACCAACACAAACAAACGACACTACCCCACCTATGGCCCTCCATGTTGCGCTACGGCCCATCGGAGGCCGTAGCGTATACGACGCAAAAGCCCGAGCCGGAAGTCATGGTATACGCTAAGGCGAATTGGGCTGTAGGTGGGGTGGTGTCGTCTGTTTTCTGGTCCGCCGTTGGCGGATCGAGAAAATCAGCGCAAATGGGGACGGGATAGGTGGGAGGGGAGAGTGTCAGAGGTATGGCGCGAGCGCGCCTGCGGTCGAGAACTTTGGCTCGGCGTGTCGCGTCGCTGGTCCTGGCGCGCAGCGCTTCGGCGCGACGTGCTGACCGCGTCCCGGTCCCAGAGCGTCAGCGCCACGAGCTTTTCCTCGCCCTCGCGCTACCCGCGGAGTGGAGCGGCACGCTGCCCGCCCGTAGGGCACCGCGTGTCGCCGGAGCCGGCCGCCGCGACGCGCCGTGCAAAAGAGTTCCTCACCGCAGCTCGTCCCCCTTCCCTCCCCCCCTCCTCGGGCGACGAAAGCGATACCCGGCGGCGAGCGAGGGGGGAAATGAGGAGGAGAAGGCCTTCTCAGAAGGCGGCGGGACTTCGCAGGAGCCCTCGCGCCTTCCGAGAAGTTGCCCGTGTCTTCGGGGAAGGGAAGGCCTCAGAAACTTCTCAGAAGGCCGGGGGACTTCTGAGCCTTCTGAGGAGGCCCGCCCCTTCTCGCTTCCCCCCAGCGCCCGCCGCCAATATATACACATCCACTGCCCCCTGGCTGGGCCCTTCCTGGGCCCAGGAGCTGTGTGTGCGCCCCCTCCTGGCCAAGCCAGGAGAGCGTGGCGCATACACTGCTGCCGGGTTCAGGATGGGCCCGGCCAGGCAGCGGTGGATCGGAGGTTTTGGGGGGCGAGGTCGCAGTGAAACGGAGAGCCCCCCCACGGGGAAATCGGCTCCGGTTTCGTGCTCGCGTCGTGCGTGCGGGCGAGGCGAAGCTGCGGGGGCGGGCGAGAGGAACGAACCCTCCTCTGGCCCGGCCGCGGCCAGACAAAAAAGGCCCGCACCCCCCCGGCGTGGCAGGCAGGGCCCGGGGATGACCCGCCGTGGTGCCCCGATGGTGTCCCGTCGGTCTCCCGTCGGTGTCATGTCGGTGTCCCGTAGTAAGATCGACAGTGAGATCGGTCGTGAGGGTGATAGTGAGATCGACGGCGAGATAGATAGTGCGATCGATAGTGAGATGGATAGTGAGATCGATCGTAAGATCGATAGTTAGATCGATAGTGATACCGATCGTAAGGTCGATAGTGAGATCGATCTTGAGATCAATAGTGAGACCGATCGTGAGATCGATACTGAGATCGATAGTGACATCGATTGTGAAAGGGCTAGTGAGATCGATCGTGAGATCGATCGAGATCGATTGCGAGACCGAGAGTGAGATCGATCGTGAGATCGATCGAGTCTGATCGATCGTGCTATCGATCGTGATATCGATAGTGGTATCGATAATGAGACCGATCGAGTGAGACATTGGTTCCCCCCCAGTACCTCCTCATCACCCGGAGGGTGGTCGTATAGGTATGCGCAGGTTTCGTCGCCCAGCCTCTTCCCCTCCGTCCCGTCCGCCTGCTCTGCCCACATGGGCCCCCCGAGACAGCGAGCGCGCAGCGCTCGGGCGGGGGGGCGGCAGGCGCACAGGTGCTCCCCCTACGCCGCCATCCTCCGGACCCTGGAGGCGCGCGTGCGGCAGCGCCCGTTCACGCACGGCCCCCACTGGTTCTGAGGGAGCGCGGCGCCGCGGAGGCCCTCCCGGCCGAGAAATCGGCGCGCGCGCGTGCGGCGGGCGGGGCCCGTCTCGACCCGATCGACCCCATCCGATGTTGCTTCTGGCGGGCTCGGTGCGGCTCGATCCACCGACGCTCCGACGATCCGTGGCGGCCCGATGTCTGCGCGGGCGCCGCCGTGCCTTCTGGCGCGGCCGAGCCGATGCCCTCCTCCTCCTCCTCCTCCTCCTCCTCCTCCTCCTCCTCCTCCCTCCTCCTCCTCCTCCTCCCTCCTCCTCCTCCTCCTCCTCCTCCCTCCTCCCTCCTCCTCCTCTCCCTCCTCCTCCTCCCTCCACCTTCCTCCTCCTCTCCTCCTCCTCGTCCTGGCAGGCGGGGCGTGGGGCGATAGGCGCAGCCCACGCTCCGCCTCCTCCTCCTCCTCCTCCTTCCTCCTCCTCCTCCTCCTTCCTCCTCCTCCTCCTCCTTCTCCTCCTCCTCCTCGTCCTGGCAGGCGGGGGCGTGGGGCGATAGGCGCAGCCCACGCTCCGCCTCCTCCTCGTCCTCCTCTTCCTCCTCCTCCTCCTCCTCGGCTTCCGGATTCGATGTTGAAGCGCTCCTGCCGCCCCCCCGCGAGGTGGGTCGGGGTTGCCGTCGGGTGCGCTCGTCCCGCCGCGCTGTCGCGCCGAGCCCACCGCCGCGCTGCGCTCGTCGTGTGCCCGTGCCGCGGGGGCGGCGGGACGGGGGCCGCCTGTGGGCTCAGAGTCGGGAACTGGAGCATCTACATTGCCAGTGGCGGGCTGTGTCTCAGTCCCGGGACTTTTCGAGGATCGGGGGCAACGTCGGGCGCCGTCGGGGTGGTGTGGTGTATGCTTTTTCCCCCGTGGTCCCAGGGAAGCAACGAAACCCGTGTACACCAGGATCCCGTATGCACCAGGATCCGCTTTCCTCTGCAGCTCTCAGTGCGGGGCCGAAAAAAGCATCGGTGTGTAGAGGTCGGTTCCTTGCAGAAGGGGCTCTGGTTTTCGGGCCGTTCCTTGGGTCTGGTTCGTGGCCGAGACTCGCCGTGCCCAAGAGTGCCTCTGCACGATGACTGTATCCTCTCATGTCTTCCTGCTCCGCACAGCCGTCTCGGCTCGAAGTGCGAGTGGGGCATATCGCCCCAGAGGGAGAGGGGCCAGCGGTCACGTCCCGCGGATCACCGGAGGGTTAGGCCCACTGGCCCAATCCCCGTGCACACAGGGGGGGCCTGGGCTTGGGCGTTCACCGCCCACCAAGCCACCCCAACCCAAGCCGAAAGCCCCGATTTGCCCTCCACTTCCAGTGTGGGGGGGGGTCAGGGAACACTGAAAAACACATATGGAGCCCGTACCCCTCCTAACCCGAGATTCGGGTCTTCGGGTTGGGTTGGGGTGGTCTGGTAGGTAGTCAGGCGTGAGGCGTGATGCCGGGCGGGTGGTCGTGGAGAGAGGGTCGAACTCCCAACGAGAACGCCGCAAGCTGTCTCGCGCACGCCCGCTCGCCCTCCCGGCCGCGCACGTGGCACACAGGCCTCATCACTGGCAGCGGCCGCCACCCGACGGGCAGCCCCACCGGGAGCCCCTGCAGCCGCAAGGGTGCGCCCCGCTCGCGAGGTGTGCCGCGCGTGCCAGGCGCGCCAGACGCACCAGGTGCGCCGGGTGCGCCAAGGGGCCAGGCGCGCCTGGTGCGCCAGATGCGTCAGGTGCACCACGCATGACACGTGCGCCAAGTGCGCCGCGCGCCCCAGGCGCGCTCCAAGTGCGTCAAGCGCCCTGGGTGTGCGGCGCGCGCAGCGTGCGCCGGCTGCGCGTGAAAGCGCACATCAGGCAATCTGGCGGCAGCCATATACCATCCCAGTCAGAAGCCGGAGCAGAGTAGCGGCGGGGCAGTTCGCATCGTGTGCGGTGTGTGCGGTGTTGACAGGGGTGATGGACCAGGGCGCAGCGGAAAGTACACGAGCACACCCCGCCGCCCCTGTCAAACGCACATGCCGAATGGGGTTCTTCTTCGAAAAATGGAGCAGTGACATGTGACATGTTCACTGGCCCTGGTTGCCCGCGCCTGGGCATCAGGTCTTCGCGGTTTTCCTCGGGAAGCTAAAAGGCGTGGGGACGAACAGCACGGCACAAGGACGCGTGTCTGGTCCGGTGCGGTGGTGGGGAGGCGAAGCATATTGTGTCGCAGAGGAGCAGCGGGCAGGAAAGGCACCAGCGGAGCCCGACACGTGTGCCGACAGCGGAACAGCCAGCGCGGAGGCGGATTTGTGCGCATCCTCTGGGAGCGTCGGGCAGAGCGTACGGGCGTCCGCTGCTCACCCGCGAGCCATATTGGCTCCAGGGTGGCTTCGGGGGGGGCCACCGCCCGGCCGGGACTGCCGGCAGCGGCGGCGCCGAGGATGAATGACGTGCGGCCGGGGGATTGGTCGTCGGCCTAGCGCTGGGCGTTCTCTCGCCGCCTCTGTGCAGCCAGCGTCTCTTCTGCTTTCTTCCCGCGTCTTTGAGCCCACTGCGGGCGCAGCCGAGGCTTCCTGGTTGCACTCGGGGCGCGCGGTGTGGAGCTCAAGTCCTCGATGTGCGCGGGAGGAGCAAGGGTCGGTGCCCAGGCGGTCAGCCGGTCGCAGCAGGGAGGTCAGGTTTGCTGGAGCTCTCCCAGACCAGCTTCTCTTTCTGCTTCTGCTTCTGCTGCTGCTGCTGCTGCTGCTGCTGCTTCTGCTTCTGCTTCTGCTTCTGCTGCTGCTTCTCCTCCTCCTCCTCCTTCTCCTCCTCCTCCTTCTCCTTGCTCGTCCCTTACTTCGGCGATCGAGAGGCAACCTGGCACGATCACGTTGCCTCGAGGTTGCAACCCCGCCTTTGCTGTCTAAAGATCTCTGGCTCACACTTTGCTAGAAGTCTCCCTGACTAGCCTCTCCTCCTCCTCTCCCCCCTTTCTCCTCCCTGCCCTCCTTCCCCTCTTTGTTTGCATCTGCTCCTCCTCCCCTTCTTCGCGTGAGTGATCGCATGTCGGGGGACACCAGCATCGGCGGCGAGCGAGGGGGGAAACGAGGAGGAGAGGGCCTTCCCAGAAGGCGGCGGGACTCCTCAGGGGCCCTCGCGCCCTCTGAGAAGTGTTTTTTGGTTGGAGGAGGCGAGGGTCGGAGGAGGAAGGAAGGACGAGGAGGAGGAGGAGGAGGAGGAGGAGGAGGAGGAGGAGGAGGAGGAGGAGGAAAAGGAGGATAGCGGGGAAGTGAGAAGGTCTTCTCCTTCTCACTTCCCCCCCTCGCTCGCCGCCGACAGAGCTGTGCATCTGTACAGGTCCTGGCCAGGTCGATCCTCGGCCCAGGATCGGCGCCTCTGTGCGCTCCTGGCCGAGCCAGGTGGGCGCAGGTACCAGCGTTAAGTCGGGCCTGTCCCTCTACAGGGGGAATGTTCAAACATAGTCAATTGGGTATTTGTATGTTTTCGCCGAAAATCCGCCTGTAGGGGGACATGCCCGGCCTAATACTAGCGCCGAAGCCCAGGGTCGGCCTGGGGCCAGGGCCCGCGCTGGTGGTGCGCCTGGCGCGGCGCAGAGCTGCCGTTGGCCAGGCGCATCTCTCTCTCTCTCTCTCACTTGTTCTCCCTCTCTCTCTCTCTTTTCCCCTCGTTATCTCTCTCTCTCTCTCCCTCGTTATCTTTCTCTCTCTCTCTCTCGCTGTCTCTCTATCTCTCTCCCTCTCTCGCTCTTTCGCTCCCTCGCTCTCTCGCTCTCTCGCTCGCTTGCTCTCTCGCTCTTTCGCTCGTTTGCTTGCTCTCTGTCTGCCTGTGTCTGTCTGTGTCTGTCTGTGCCTGTGTCTGTCTATCTGTCTGCCTGCCTGTCTGTCTGTCTGTCTGTCTGTCTGTCTGTCTTTCTGTCTCTTTCTCTCTCTCTCTCTGCCTTTTTTTTTTTTTTTTTTTTTTTCTCTCTCTCTCTCTCTTTCTCTTTTTCTGCATATACATATTATATCAGAGCAGAAGGTTCGCTGCAGCGTATTGCCTGTTCAGGCGGTGCACCTAGGACGTGACGTGTTTTTTTGTGTATATATATATATATATATATATGTATACATACACATATTCCTCTCCCTATTTTTTTACAAGCCCGGGCGGGGGGACCCCCCCCAAAAAAACGGACTCCAGGGATCTGGGGCTTTGGGACTTTCCGGACGGGCCTCGAAGCGGCACACCGGGCCTCGCAGGGCGTTTTGCCAAGCCTTCCCAGCACACCTAGGGCGATCAGGGGGGTCATCGGAGACGTCCCAGGGCCCCCAAGACAGCACAAGAGCGCTCCAAGAGTGACTGACGTGACCTCAAGATGGCCCAAGAGGCCTCCAGGACGGCCCCAAAGAGGCCTCCAAGAGCACCCCCAAGAAGGCCCCAAGAGGCAACAATCATTGATTTTCTGTTGGTTTTTTGTTGAATTTTGGGGTTCTCCTCTTTTCGGCTTCCCGACGCTCCAAGACGGCGGTCTTCTGGGCGTCCGAAGCCGCCTGGGAGGCTCCCAAATCGCCCCACAACCATCCGAAAGGGCTTCCAGGCAGTCCAAGAGAGCCCCAAAACGGCACAACACGGGTCCAAAATGGCCCTCAGAGAGCATGGCCCCAAGACGCCCTCCGAAGCATTCCAAATCGTAACCCGGTCGTTCAGGGAGACCGCGGTTGGAGGCAGGGTGGCCCGAGGAAGCCCCCAGAGACCCCCAGAATGCGCCCAGGAGGCCTCCAGAAGGCCTTAAGAAAGCCTGAAGCAACTTTTGTGATGCCCCCAGAGGCTCTCCAAGGAGGAGCCTCCGCAAAAAAGAACAGAGGAGGATGGGGAGAATGCGCAGGGTATGGCGAACATGAGGAAAAGGAAGCATGGAGGAAGGATAGCGATTAACATTACTATAGCGGCGATGCCTGAAAAGGCATCAAGGAGTTATCGCTAAATTGTCGGCTTGACCTTCCTGCTATTCCGCCTGCATACCAAACTTCAAGGACCAAGGTGCATGGCGCGAAGCGCCACTGCAGTCTTGTGTGTATATACACATCTATATGTATATGTGTATGTATATATATATATATATGTATCTCGATATCCAGATCTATATCCATATATATATATATATATATATATATATATATTGTGATGCCATCCTTCGCAGTTAAGCAGCAGCAGCCTCTGGATCGTAGGTTCACCGACGACGGCATTGTCCGAGGGCCGCGGCCCTTGCCGCCCTCCCCTCCGGGGGCGTGCTCCGGCGCGGTGGAGGCGGTTCGTTCCCTCGTTCGTCCGCTCGATGCGCCTGCCCTGATCGCCGAGGGTCGCTGAAGGGGGGGGGGCGGGGCGGGGCTGGCTGCGGGCAGCGCCGCGGGTCAGGTCGTGCACGACCTGCGGGGCGGAGAAGGTCTACGCCACCAGGACCCCGCGCCCACCGTGGGCCTCGGGGGCCCCTCGCCCTGCCGCTGCCTCGGGGGCCCGTCGGCCCCGACGCCCGAAGGAGCGGCGCCAGCACGAGCCTGCAGTCGGGGCGCTGACTAAGGAACCCTATTCGTTGGGGAGGAGCTCGGTGTTCCTTGACTGTTTCACAGTTTGCCTTGGGTTTCCTCAGGTTTTCCATGGGGAATCGAAGCTGAAGTTAAGGGAAGCAGGGGCCTCGTTCCTTATTTCGGGCTCCTCAGGTCAACGCCCCGACTGTACATTCTCAGATTCTCGGGCCTCAGCAAGGTTATGCTGTTGTTCTGCTCCGCTGGGCAGGGAGCTCGACTCCCCCCCAGTTGTGGCGAGCCGCGCCACGTTCGTCAGGGGCAGCGACACCCGGGGGGGGGGGGGGGCGGAACTTGAAGCTTCGCCCCAACATACTTATACTATATGTGCGGCGCCCCCCCAGGGGCGGCGCGCGCACCGGAAAATCTTATAGTATATGCGTCGTGGCGGGCGCTTTCTGGCCACACCGCTCGGGAAACGATATACTACAAGATGGGTATACTATATGTTCGGGTTGGGCGCGCGCCTCCAAGGAGGACATCTAGTATTAGTATGTCTCTGTGCGTCCCATGAGAGGTGGCGTCATCTCTGGTCAGACCCGAGCCCCTCCTGATCCCTGGCAACGGCCCTGAGGTAAGTAAGCCTCGAGTTAATCTCGGGAGGCGGAGAGCAGCCAGAGTGGGCCCCACTGGGGGCCGCGGTGCCACACCGAGGGCTGCCCTGGGGAGGCAGCCGGCCGTCTCGGCCAGCCGCAACTCCCAAGATGAGATTATCGTGGCCAGGCTGCGGCCTCCACGGTTGGTGCGGCCACCCTGGGCCACGATGGGAGCTCGGAGGGAATAATATGTTTGTGGAAGTCGATTCATGGAGAGGAAGCATGCGGCCAATCAATTTCCAGATGTCTAAAAGATGTGTCAAACATGTTTCAATATGTAAAAAACATGTTTGACACATCTTTAGAACATGTTTTACACATTTAAAAGCATCTTTAACTCAATGGTAGGATTGTTAGAGTGTCCATTGTCGTGGCATTTGCAAGAGTATGTCTTCCCTTTTAACCCGCTTGAGCCAGACTGGCAGCGCGAGAAACAACTGGGAACCACTTTGCATGCAGGCGCAGTGTCGCACCGCATTTGGATTGTCCTCCCTCTGAGGTTCATGCAGGCGTAGGGTCGTACCGCATTCCCCTCGGAGGTGCAAGCAATACTATGCTACAATGCTGCCTGCTGCTGGTGACGTTTACCCGGCCGGACACCGGTGACCTGTTGGAGGCCGCTGGAGGCCTTCGGAGGTCACTGGCCAGAGGGTCCCCGGCCAACAGGAGGCCAGGGGACAAACGCAACATGTCATCACCCGAAGCTGGCCCAACGCAAGCTGTGGGAATCTCAGCTTGGGGCTGCAGCTGTGCCCGACCAAACCGTATGTATGCCTGCGCGGTGACCGTCTGGATTGCCACCGCCAATTCCAGAAAGCAGCGACCTTACGCTTAAGAGCTCCCATTTTGACTGAAATGGGTCGGTTTCTCTGGCGGCCTACAACCTCGACGAGAGCACTAGAGGGAAACCCGTTCAGCGAACATTGTACCGGCCGCGTGGCCGATGCTGGTGCTGCCGCTGATGCTACTCAGGCATGCGTGGGGCTCTCACATTATGCTTTTGCTACGCTCCCTGACCCACGCGGCGGCGGAGGAGGAGGAGAAGGAGGAGGAGGAGGACGAGGAGGAGGAGGAGGAGGATCCACATGTTTTCACTCCAGGTTTGCTTAGCGTAATGGAAGGAGGAGGAGGAGGAGGAGGAGGAGGAGGAGGAGGAGGAGGAGGAGGAGGAGGAGGCGGAGGAGGAGGAGGTGGAGGTGGAGGGGAGGGAGGTGGAGGTGGAGGAGGAGGAGGAGGAGGAGGAGGAGGAGGAGGAGTGGAGCAGGAGGAGGAGGAGGAGGAGGAGGAGGTGGAGGAGGAGGAGGACGAGGAGGAGAGGAGGGAGGAGGGAGGAGGAGGGAGGAGCAGGAGGAGGAGGAGGAGGAGGGAGGAGGAGGAGGAGGAGGAGGAGGAGGAGGAGGAGGAGGAGGCGCAGGAGGTGCAGGAGGTGCAGGATGACTAAGTTGGTGACAGTGATGGTGGTGACGGTGATGATGGTGGTGATGGTTTTGGAAGGGGGGGAAGGAGGAAGTATGTGAGTATGCGGGGCAAGAGGAGAGGGGGAGGGGGGCATCGACCCCCAATCGTTCCTTCCTCGCCACTCTGGGCCCTTGGCTCCCCGCCCCGCCCATGGAGCCACCAGGGGGGGGGGCACGGTGCAGTCCCCCCGAGCCCCAGAGTTGGCACGGGCCAGGCTGGGGGCTCCGCCCAGGCCGCGCTGGCCCCGCCACCGGCAGACGTGCCCACGGCGGCCGCGTCCATGCCCAGGCCACCGCAAACGGGGCGTCAGTAAACGGGCTGGTAGCTTGGGGTGCGTTCTCAAATGTGTTTTCAGCATGCCGATTTTCCGTGCACAAGTGCGAGGTTTCCCATGATGCTGATGATGATGGTGGTGGTGATGATGACGATGCTGATGATGATGCTATGCTGCTGCTGCTGATGGTGGTGGTGGTGATGATGATGATGCTGATGATGATGGTGGTGGTGATGATGACGATGCTGATGATGATGATGATGATGATGATGATGATGATGATGATGATGATGATGATGATGATGATGATGATGATGATGATGATGATGATGATGATGATGATGATGATGATGATGATGATGTGTCAACGTTTTTGCCGTCCCGATTTATCACGCACTAGTGCAAGGTAACTGCCCTGTCACCCCGTTCTCGCTCGAAGGGGCCGCCCCGTGTACTAACGCCCCGTTTGCAGAGGCTTGGTGTGCCCCCCCTACCCGCCGCCAACCTCCTCCAAGGGACACTAGCTCCCACAAGCCGCTGGCACCTCCTGGCGGGATCGCGGGGGCTCTGATCGCCCAGACCCTCGTGGAGGACCCCGCGGCCCAGGGGCACCCCAGTGTGGTGCAAGCGCGCGCGCCCTTTGGCGGCCAGCACTGCGAACCCGACCCTCCGCCTCCTCGAGCAGTGGGCCACCCGGCTCGACAGAGAGGTGGTGGGAATCACGTGGGTGCGCGAACTCAACGGCAAAGCGGGCAACGACGACGCTGCGTGGCCCCCCTGGGGCATCGCAGGGCTCGGCGACAGCGCCCCGCGCTTCCACGCCACCAGGGCGGATCTCGTCCTGCTCATCCAGGGTGAGCTAGGGGCTCTCCAGCCAGGCCCTCGTCGAGAGCAGCGAGGCTCGAAGTACCCCTGCTATGCCCAGCCCACGCGGGCACCGACTGACATACCCCATTCTCCCGTGAGGCAGCAAGACTCAGGGAGCCAGGCTCGCACCTCAGGCCCCTCCCCAGTGTCTGGCCGCTACGGCCGAGAGTTCATGTGCCCCACGGTCGCCAAGCTCTTGGTAATTACGATGGGACTGGTCGGGCCCCCCTGGGGCCTCTATCGAGGGTCCCCTTCGCGTCGCTTCGCTTCGCCTCGCCGCCGCGCCGTCGACGTCGCCATCATCGTCGTCGTCGTCGCCGACGTCGACAAGACAACGTCGTCGTCGTCGTCGTCGTCGTCGTCGTCGTCGTCGTCGTCGTCCGTCTTCTTCGTCGTTGTGTTCGTCGTGGTCGTCGGCGTCGTCCGTCTTCTTCGTCGTTGTCTTCGTCGTGGTCGTCGGCGTCGGCGTCGGCGTTGGCGTCGGTGTCGGCGTTGGCGTCGGCGTTGGCGTCGGCGTTGGCGTTGGCGTCGTCGTCGTCGTCGTCGTCGTCGTCGTCGTCGTCGTCGTCGTCGTCGGGCGCAGGACGCACTGCAACAAGTGCGGCGCCCCCAAGCCTGGGCTGCCGGAGCTCCAGCTGGCGCCGCCGCCGCCGGCCCCCTCCTTCGGCGGCAAGGGCGAGGCCACCGGGCCGACGCAGAAAGTCGTCTCCTCCTCCCTCCTGCTCTGGCACGGCTTCGGGCTGTGCGCACACTGCCCCCCCCCCAGGTGGTCCCAGCTGGCCTCAGCAGGTCCCCCTGGTGTGTGGCTCCAGCTGGCCTCAGCAGGCCCCCCCGAGTGGTCCATGGCGGTCTCGACACCCTGGCGCCGCCTCCGGCGGCGCCACTGGGGCGTTCTGCGCCCCAGGGTTGATGTGTTGAGATCGCCCTGGACTGCTCGGGGAGGCCTGCTGAGGCCAGCTCGAAGTACTCGGGGGGGCCTGCTGAGGCCAGCTGGGACTACCTGGGGGCACCGTCTGCGCGCAGCCCGAAGCCTGACCACTCCTGCTCCTCTTCTTCCTGCCCTTGCTCCGCCACCCCTCCTCCCCCTCCCTCCTCCTCGTCTCCGTCGTACACCGTCGGGACTTCCAGGCGGGCGAGATATCTACAAGGCGAAGGGATGGATGAGGAGCAAGATGCCAATGATGATGAGGATGAGGATGATGATGATGATGATGATGATGATGATGATGATGATGATGATGATGATGATGATGATGATGATGATGATGATGATGATGATGATGATGATGATGCTGATGATGCTGATGATGATGATGATGATGATGCTGCTGATACTGATGATGCTGCTGATGATGATGCTGATGATGATACTGACGACAATGATGGTGCTGGTGATGATGCTGCTGATGATGATAACGACGACGTCAATGATGCTGATGATGAGGATGAAGATGATGCTGCTGCTGATGATGATGACGATGATGATGATGATGATGATGCTGGTGCTGATGAGGATGGTGATGATGATGGTGATGCTGATCATGATGATGATGATGATGATGATAATGGTGATGATGACGAAAATAATGCTCTTCATAATGAGGGTGATGATGATTATAATTTTAGTGATGCTGCTGATGATGACGACGATTATGATGATACTCCTGATAATGATGATGACGACGATGATGATGGTGATGCTTCTGGTAATGATGATGCTGCTGCTGATGATCATGATGAGAATGAGGATGATGAGGATGATGAGGATGAGGATGAGGATGATGATGATGATGATGAGGAGGAGGATGATGATGATGATGATGGTGATGGTAGTGGTGGTGGTGGCGCGGTGGGGTTGGTGGTGACGATGATGGTGATGGTGGTGATGATGATGAGGATGATGATGAGGAGGAGGATGAGGATGAGGATGAGGATGAGGATGAGGAGGATGAGGATGAGGATGAGGATGAGGATGAGGATCAGGATGAGGATGATGACGACGATGATGCTGATGATGATGCTGCTGATGATGATGATGATGGGAACGATGATGATCATGATGATGATGATTCTGACGACGATGATGATGATGATGATGCTAATGATGATGATGATGACGATGATGCTGATGATGATTCTGATGCTGCTGCTGATGATTATGATGCTGCTGATGATGGTGAAGATGATGCTGCTGCTGATGATGATGTTGATGCTGCTGATGCTGCTGCTGATGATGATGATGATGACGATGCTGATGCTGATGCTGATGCTGATGCTGATGCTGGTGATGATGATGATGCTGATGATGATGATGATGATGATGATGATGAGGACGAGGATGAGGTTGAGGACGATGATGATGATGATGATGATGATGATGATGATGATGATGATGGTGGTGATGATGATGATGATGATGATGATGATGATGATGATGATGATGATGATGATGATGATGATGATGATCCCATTGGGTTTTTTTTTTGATCCCATTGTGGGGTTCCTTTCTGCTTTTTTAGGATCCCACGGGGGGGTGGGTTGGGGGCGTATCTTGGGTCAACTTGAGCTGGGTCGGGGCGTCTTGGGGCCCTGTTGGGGCTCTCCTGGGCTGTCTTGGCGCTGTCTTGGGTCGCTTGTGGGCTCTTGTGGCTTGTCGTGGACTGCTCCGACGGCCGCCTCGAGCCGTCAGAGGGGCCTCCTGGCTCTCGTGGGGTTGTTTTGGGTGGTTCTTGGGGCCTTTGAGATACGCTTGGGTGCTTCCGCAGCCATCTTGAATCTCTTTGAAATCTCCGGTGCACTCTTGGGCCGTTTTGGGGCGGCTCCTCCTGATGAGCCCCCCCCTTAAAGGGGAGATTTTGGAGCCAGTGTGGTGGGTAAGGAATCGCACACGCCTGGTGACTCCAAGGTAGTCGGCGGGTTTTTGTCGAGGAATTCTCGAACGAGAGCCCCATTCTGAAAAGGAGCCGCCCTCCCCCCCGCCCTCCATCCCTTGGGATGTTTTGGTCTTAATAAGACGACTGTGAGCAGTGCTCAGGCGAGAGCTACGTTTTGAAAACAACCCGTCCTCCATATTTGTAAGTGTTGAGAGTTTCGAGCTTCAGGATCATCAGCTGGAAGGAAGGCTCAGGCGAAACGCATGGCCCGCCCTACTGATACGTTTGGAGGTGCGAGGATGGTATAATGTTAGTTAGGAGAGGGTTGGATGAAGAGGATGAGTAGGATGAGGATGGTAAGTAGAAGGACGAGGAGGAGAGAACAAGGAGAATGAGGAGGAGGAGGACGAGGACGAGGACGAGGACGATAACGAGGAGGAGAAACAAAGAGGACGAGGAGGAGGAGGAGGATGAGGAAGAAGAGGAGCAGGAGCAGCAGCAGCAGCAGGAGAAGGGTGGGGCCGAGGATGGCCAGACTTCTCCGTCGTCCTCCCTCTTTCTCCCTCTTCCTCCTCTTCGTCCTCGCTATCCTCGCCGTCGTCGTCGTCGTCGTTGTCGTCGCGGTCGCCGCTCTCGCCGCGTCCGCCGTCGTCGCCGTCGCCGCTGTTGTCATGGTGGTCGCTGCCACTGCTGCCATCCGCGTCGCCGCCGCCGTTGTCGCCGTCGCCGTCGCCGCCGCCGCCGTTGCCGTCGCCGCCGTCGTCTTCGTCGTCGTCGTCGTCGCCGTCGTCGTCGTCGTCGTCGTCGTCGTCGTCGTCGCCGCCGTCCTCGTCGTCGTCGTCGTCGCGGCCGCGGCAGCCGTCGCGCCGCGGCTGGCGGCGGCGGCCGCCGCGCCGCGGCCCGTGGGCGCCAGGTGCGCCCGGGCGACTGGACGTGCACGGCGTGCGGGGCCGGGCCCGTCTTCGCCACCCGGGACTCCTGCTTCAAGTGCGGGTCGCCGCGGCCCGTGGGCGCCGGCGCGGGAGGCGTGGGGCAGGCTGCCCGCCCTCGTCGCCGTCGCCGCCGCCGCCTCCGTTTTTTTTTTTTTTTTTTTGTGTGTGTGTGTGTGTGTGTGTGTGTTTTTTTTATATATATATATATATATATATATATATATGTATATATGTATATATATACATTTATGTATATATATATACATTTATGTATATATATGTATATATATATACATTTACGTTTTTATAATACATATATGTATATATATATAGCAACAATAAATTGTATACATACATATATATATATATATATACATACATATATATATGTTCTTGGATTCTAGAGCCGTATTTTTTTGAACTATTACCGTTATACATTATTATCGCTACTGTTACCAGTCTTATTCGTACTATTTATGTATCATTCGTATAACGATGTGTTATGCGTTATACAATCATTTTAACGGTTTGTTTATTTTCGTAATGTATGTTCGTTTTTTTTTTTTTGTTTTTTTTTTTGTTTTGTTGTTTTTTCTTTTTCGTCTGTAGAACCATGCCTACTGAACAAATTCTTACTCTTGTTGTTTAAGGCGCTTTGTCGCTCTTGCTTGGGCGCTGGCTGCATTTTCTTCGGAAATTAGGGTCACGCTCAGGCGTTTTGGGGTTCCACCCAAGCCAGCCCCCCAACGACAACGCTCGGGCTCGATATTTCTTCCCTTTTAAACTCAGAACCGGGGTCCTGCTCGCCGCCCAGAGCCGCCTTCCAACAAAACCAGCGCTCCCGCTCCATAATTCGTTGCTTCTACTCAGGACCGGCGCTCCCGCCTGGGCGCGGAACAACGACGCTCCCGCTCGATAGCGTTTTTTTACTCAGGACTGGCGCTCTTGCTCGCCGCCGAAAACGGGCCCTCCATGAAAACCAGCCTTCCGGCTGGGTACTTCATTGATTTCTGCTGAGGACGGGCGCTTTCGCGTCGGCGCCGCAGACGGCCCACCCCTACATCAACGACGCTCCCTCTCGATGTTTATTCAATTTTTACCTGCGGACTGGCGCTTCGGCTCGCCGCCGAAGCGGGTCCTCCATTATAGCCACCGCTCCCGCTCGATATTTCTGCGTTTTGAACTCAGGACCGGCGCCATATTACTCGCCGCCGAAAGCCGGCCCTCCGACAAAACCAGCGCTGCCGGTCGACATTTTTTGTCTTTGCCCAGAAGTGGTGTTCGCGCCTCGGCGCCACGAGCTATCCACCCTACAATAATAACGCTCCCGCTCGATATTCCCTGGATTTTTGCTGGGTGGTGCGGCCATCGTCTTGGCATCGCTTCTAGAGGGCCGATGTTTGGCGTGGAAGACAGATCGACCCTCGATCCTCCCCCTCCGTTCCTCCTGCCACTGCGGGCAAGTTTAAGTCGGGCGTGTCCCTCTGCAGGAGGAGTAAAATAGTCTACAAATCGTATGGGGACAATTTTCTGACTATTCTTGACCATTTTGGAGTAGTCTTTGACTGAATTTATATTGTTCTTCCAAATTCAGTCTGCAGGGGGACATGCCCGACCTAACGGGAAGTCCAGAAACCCTCTCTGATCAACGCTCCTCCATCCCCTGCGTGCCCCCCCCGGTAACTCCAGACGTCCCGTCTCCTCGAGCCGACGACGTCCACGAATGCAGAACAGTGACAGAAACCTCGCACGATGGGGCCGTGCCGTGTCGGCGCGGCGGCGGCCCCGTCGCGGGCAGTCCATTTGGAGCGCCGCCCTGAGCCCCGAACCGGGCGACCTCGAGCGAACTGCGCCGTCGGAGAGCCGAGACCGTTCCGGTCGGCATGGCCCCAGCAGCGCCAGAAGCCGCTGCGCCAGGTCGGCACGACGCGGACCGGCCCCTGCCTCGGCCCTCCGTGCTCCCTCGCTCCTCCCGCCCTCCTCGAGCCTCGCTCCTCTCTCTCCCAATCCGCGCTCCTCGCTCCTCCCTCCCCGTTCCCTCCTCGATCCTCTCCCCCCCCTCGCTCCTCGAGCCTCCCGCCCTCGATCCCTCCGCCCCCTCCGGCGCCCCTTGCCGCCGCCTGCCGCCAGGCGGCCGTGCCCAGCCGGGGCTACTCGCCCTACGGCGCGCCGCCCGCCCCGCGCGGCGGCAAGGGCTTCGGCAAGGGTCCCGCAGTAGGGGGGATCAAGGACCGCCGCCCCCCGCCGACCCCTCGCCCAGAGGATGGAGGGTCGAGGAGGGGGAGGAGGATCCAGGAGGGGGAGGGCATCGAGGAGGGGGAGGGCATCGAGGATCCAGGAGGGGGAGGGCATCGAGGATCCAGGAGGGGGAGGGCACCGAGGATCCAGGAGGGGAGGAGGATCGGGGGAGGGTCGAGGAGCGCGGGCGGAGCTGGGACGGGAGGGGGAATCAGGCGAAGGAGAAGGGGAAGCAGGACGGGTAGACGGAGTATCTCAGGAGGGAAAGAAACACACAGACACAATTCATCGTCGATTCCCCCCAAAATATGGGAAAATATGGGAAGTGGGGGGGAAGACGAAAACCCAGAACATATGGGAAAATATGGGGAATCCTTTTATTTGTGTATTTATTTGTGTGTCCCAGGGCCCCTTTAGTATCGGAGGTTGATCGACCTCCTACCCTGGCACGTCGGTTAGCGAATTGGCCGTTTCCGGTCAGCGCGAGGGCCTCGCGGCCGTCATTTTTGCGGGTCCAGGTCCGTCGGTGTCGGTCCTAGGCCGTTTTCACTGAAGGGTGGTTTACTACAGGGAGGTTCGTCCACCGCCGATTGTAGTTTCCAAGTCATTTGATGGGCGTGCTGAAGTTTCGCGGAAGTCTTCCTCCTCTGAGTGCCCCCTCCTCCCTCCTCCTCCGCGGCTGCCCCTTTTGTTTCGTGATGCTTTCATTCGCGCTGGGCAATTCGCTTCTCGGTGTCCCCCGTGTAGCTCTTCCGCTGGTGCAGCCATTCTACCTCGCCGCCGACGGAAAAGTGCGGAAGTTTCGCCACGTTGCCGCCCGTGGGCGCCTGGTGGGCGCAGGGGTCTGCCGAGGTTCTGCCACGTCGCCGCCCGTGGCCAGTCTCGTGGTCGCCTCGCGGGCGCATGCCATCGCATCTATGGAGCTTACACCACACAGGGGCCACGTAATTCGCACCACGTAATTTGCACCACATAGCTTCAACCGCTTAGCTTGCACCACATGGCTTGCACCGCATGGCATACGCCAGATAGCTTGCACCGCATCGCGTGCACAACACTGCTTTTACCACACGGCTTGCACCACACGCATGCTATCGCATAGCCTACGCACATAGCTTACGCCACATAGCTTACACAGCATAGCTCACACCACCAGCTTGCGCCATGTAGATTCTCCTTTCTAAAATGAGAATCGACTCTACCCCCCCGGCGTTATCCGTTCCCCTTTCGGGTATGTAAATCATATATCATCCTGACCACGTGTCCATCCTAAATATGAGTTTACACTATCCCAGAGGGGCCGGTATCGGCCCCCCTGATGTTCCCTTGTAAAAACGATACGCGGGGACACTTTTTGTTCTAGCATAGCACTTGTTCGCGAATCCCTTGCAACAAATGGGACGAAGTGCACACGCGCGCGCGTCGTCGCGCGCGCATGCCGAAATCCACCAAAAACCTTCGGTGTCGGAAGGATTTCGTAATCGAGTTCACCAAAAACATACAAACCACAGGGTTTCGCAACACTGATTTGCTAAAAAAGCTTACGCGCGAGCTCTTGCGAAATCTTACGAAACCATAGGCTTTTCAATATTTTCACAATATGCTACCAAACGGGCTTCGCGCGCGCGCGCATGTCGAAATCTGTCGAACGCCCTTGCGCGTGTGCCGTCGCGAGAATCCTCTGCAACAGAAATGGGACGAAGTGCAGACGCGCGCGTCGTCGCGCGCGTATGCCGAAATCCTTCAAAACCCATCTGCTTCGGAAGGATTTAAACATCGTGTGTCCAAAAAACCTACAAAAACACAAGGTTTCGCAACACGGATTTTCAACAAAAGTGTGCGCGCGCGCTCTTGCGTCGTCGTCGTCGTCGTCGTCGTCGGCGCCGTCCTCACTCCTCCCGCGTCGTCGTCGTCGTCGTCTACGTCGTCCTCTGTCTTTCCTCGTGTTCGTCGTCGTCGTCCTATTTGGCGTCGTGGTCGTTTCCGTCGTCGTTGTCGCCGTGGTTGTCCTTCCTCGTCCTCCCTCGTCGTCGTCGTCGTCCGTCGTCGGCGTCTCGTCGTCGTCCCTCCTATTCCGTCGCCGTCGTCGTCGTCGTCGTCGTCGTCGTCGTCGTCGTCGTCGTCGTCGTCGGCGTCTTCCCTCCTCCCTCGTCGTAGTCGTTGTCGCTGTCGCCGTCCTTCCTCCTTCTTCGTCGTTCGCGTCGTCGCCGTCCTCCCTCCTCCCTCGTCGTTGTCGTCGTTGTCGCCGTTGTCGTCCTCCCTCCTCCCTCGTCGTCGTCTTCGTTGGCGACGTCGTCGTCGTCTTCGTCGTCGTCTTCGTCGTCGTCGGCGTCGGCGTCGTCGTCGTCTTCGTCGTCGTCGACGTCGGCGTCGTCGTCGTCGCCGCCGTCGTCATCGTCGTCGTCGTCGTCGTCGTCGTCGTCGGCGTCGTTGACGTCGTCGTCGTCGTCTTCGTCGGTGTCGTCGTTGTCGTCGTCGTCGGCGTCGTCATCGTCGTCGTCGTTGTCATCGTCGTCGTCGTCGTCGTCGTCGGCGGCGTCGGCGTCGTCGTCGTCGTCGTCGTCGTCGTCGGTGTCGTCGTCGTCGTCGTCGTCGTCGTCGTTGTCGGCGTCGTCGAAGTCGTTGGAGACGTCGTCGGTGTCGTCGTAGTCGTTGTCGCTGTCGTCGTCGACGTCGCTGTCGATGCCAAGTGCCATTTGGTACCCACCGTCACGGTCTTAAAAGATTTTGCAAAGCAAGTTGCGGGTGGGTGGGTGGGATGTTTGCGCGAGCAGTGGAGTGGACAACTCACTGCGAGCAGAAGTTAGTTACACACCATAGACCGCACCACAGATAACATGCCACGCGCACTGCGCCACACTGCCTGCACTTCATAGCTCCAGACGTGTGTGTATTCTGCAACACGTAGTTCCCACCACATACCTTACATAATCAGCGCACGAACTGAAATTTCTTGGTCCACACGGGCAAACATTATGTATGAGGGATTCAGGCCTCGAATGCGTTTTATTTACTTTTTCTGTTTTTTTTTGTTTCCCATTCTCGAGGTCTAGAAAACGCAGGTCCACAGTCTTTTACGAGGTGGTTTCGAAGGCGTAGAACCCTGGTATTTGGGTGTATACCAGGGGGCTCAGCAATTCCGAGGATGTGATTCGGGCCGTGGGGGTCGCGTGCGGTCTCATAATCTTAATCTCACTTCCGGAGAACTGCTTGACGCTTTGTGTATCCCCACCAGCCCATGCAGAAGCAGTTTGCCAGGCGAGTTGAAGCGTAGTTGTGAGAGGTTCTCGGGGCCTACAGGAGCCATCTTGGGGCTCTCTGGAGGTCCTCTTGAGGCCCTCTTCGGGCCCTCTTGGGGCTCTTTTGGGGCCATCTTGGGGCCCTCTTTGGGCCCGTGGGGCGGGTCTGAGAGGTCTGTTGGGGCCGTCTTGGCCCCGTAGCTCAAAAGGGGGGAGGTCCTGAATTCATGTCCCCACTTCGGATGCTCAAACATTGCCTCTTGGGGCCTTCTTGGGGCGCTCTTGGGGTGCTCTTGGGCGCTCTTGGGGTCCTCTTGGGGCCCTCTTGGGCCCCTCGTGGGGCCGTCTTGGGCCGTCTTGGTGCTATCTTGGGGCCTCGGAAGCATCAGAAGCGAAAAGGCCAGAACGCAACAATCATTGATATCCCGAAGGTTTTGGGGCCATTTTGGCTTTTTGGGGAAGTCCTTCGAGGGCCCGGATGGCCCTTGAAATCATCTTGGGGCCGTCTTGGGCCGTCTTCCATGTATGTGGGAGGCTATCTTGAGCCATCTTCAGCTATCTTGAGCCATCTTGGAGGCCATCTTGGGCTCTCTGAGGCCTTCTTGGAGCCATCTTTGGCCATCTTGGGCGCTCTGGTGCCTCGCGCCCCTCCCTCCCCAGGCCCAGGGGAGGGGGTAGGGGGAGGGTAACCCCCTCCCCCGAGCAGGGGAAGGAGGGGTTGTGGAAAGAGAGGAGACAACACTCGTTCAACCACCTAAGCCCGGAGGGCTGGTGGATTTGACAGATTCCTGTTCGGGAGCATTGGGAACTAGCACATATCGGTTGCCGATCGGTTGAATTCCTCAGGATGTTGCATCGTTGCGGACCATCTCAGTGCGCTGATGACGATTAAGGTGCGCAGTTGCTGAAGCTTGATCTTTGCGGCCTGATGGCCCCCGCAGGCGGTCAGGCGGATTTTCTTGCCTTTTCATCTCAAGTGCGTCTCGCTGCTTCTTCTCGACGTGCCCTCTCCCGCAAGCGCCTTTCCAATCTCAAGCTTCCGCCTGCTGGCTCGACGCGGCGCTCCATCTGCTCAGCCCTGACCCGTCTCGGGCTACACTGCGGATCAGTCAGTTGCCGCGGCAATGGGCGGCATATTGTCCTCTCTGTTCGGCGGCGGCGACCCAGGGCCTCTTCCCGAAGTGGACTCATCAATAGGGGGGTCAGACATAGCGGCCAACAAAGTCACCTGAGCTTTTTGACTCCCGCCTTTCCTGAGTCCAAGAAGTAGCCAGCCAGGGAGGATGGGGATCGGACAAGTCAAGTGATTTTCGTTTACCGTTCTTCGGGCCGCCTGTTCGTCGACGATGCGTACCAGCCACCCCTGGGAGCACCAGCTCCGCAGAACCCCGTGGTCTGGTTCGATATCCAGGTGGGCGAGAAAGCCCTGGGGCGCATAGAAATGGAGCTCAAGGCCGACGCGGTGCCCAGGACGGCGGAGAACTTTCGCGCCCTGTGCACCGGGGAGAAGGGATTCGGGTACAGTGGCTCCCCGTTCCACCGCGTCATCCCGAGCTTTATGTGCCAGGGTGGCGACTTCACGCGCCAGAACGGCACGGGCGGCAAGTCCATCTACGGCGAGTGCTTCGACGACGAGAACTTCAAGCTGAGGCATACTGGGCCGGGCATCCTATCCATGGCAAACTGTGGGCCAAATACGGCTCACAGTTCTTCCTGTGCACTGTGAAGACTTCCCACCTTGACGGCAAGCAT